GACCATATGTTATCTTTCTCTATTTGTAATTCACCAAATTAAGATAAACTTCTTTCAGTTTTACTTACTGCATGCATATTCTCTATAGCAGAGTAATTTGTGGAATTTTTGTGTAAGATTTTAATTCTGTTTATCTTCATCTTTCTTTTCCATCCTTAAATACCAGACAAAATGTATTTTTCTTCTTTATGTTAAATAAAATAACTTTTGGGGCACCTGGGTGGCTCAGTTGGTTAAGTGTTGGCTCAGGGTGGTAGGATTGAGCCCCCCAATGGACTCTGCACTGACAGAGGAAGACTGCTTGGGATTTTGTCTCTCTCCCCACCTTTCTCCCTCTCTCTCTGACCCCTCCCCTGCTTGTGCTTTCTCTCTGTCTCAAAATAAATAAACCTTAAGAAAATAAATACAATAAGTACAGTAACTTTTATAGGTAGAAACATGAATATTCTGACCAACTAAAATAAATTTAATTATTAAAAATAATTATTAAATAATTAAGTTATTTAAAATTACAATAATAAATAATAAAATTCCAAATAATTTCCCAATTTCTGTCTAAAATTTGTAATTTGCTAGTGCCCCTACTGATCTTACGTTGCTTAGAGATGGTTGTGAAGTGTTGGCTTAATCTATAAAGTTTTAGAAATACACATACTCTCTTTATAAATTGATTTAATTATTGCTACCATGTTCTGAAAACTATTAGAATTGTATGTATCAAAGGAAATAAGCATAGGCTTGGTAGTAGTAGTTTTTGCCCCACCAGTTTTCTTATACGTATTTAGGGGAAGGAGGCAAGGAAAGAACAGTAATGTATTGCCTATAGCAATGTGATTATGAAAGGTAGCTATTATTTGGATATATTTTACTTTTTTTTCCTGGAACTAGGAAGAAGAGGGGCATTATATGCCACAGCTTTTTTCACATAAAGCAGATCATAAGAAATTGTTAAAGCTTCATTATTATTTTGGTTAGAGATGCAGTTTGTTAATATGCTGTTTTTATGCTTTAAATGACCACGCGGTAAATCACATTAGACAAGAACAACATACGTCCTTTCAGTGCCCATTTCCACAAACATTTCCTAATATTAATATGTTAATTTAACAGTCTAAGGATGGCATTTGATTCACATAGCAGAGTCTGGCTTTCCTTTTCACCTTTGTGCACTTTTTCTTTTGACCCACCAACCCTGGTCTTTCTTACAAATCCAGCAAAAATGTCTGATGGGACAGTCCTGTTTTATATTTACTTCAGTTGACATGTTTGGTCATGTACAATGTAAAATGATGGGATATGAAATGCAGAGCATGCATTTATTCTACTTAACTACTCGAAACTATTTCCCCAGTTAAAACCAATGAAACAGCCCCCTTTCTAAGAATTATATATCACAGTTACCACCTGTGGTCGTTTGGTCATCTTAGTTTTCTAGAAACTTGCATATATTCAATTCTAGCTTTCCTTGTTTTAATTTATACGTGCTTCCCGTTGTTTGGGTTTCTGTAGTGATTAGAACATCCTTCTCAGAAAACTATGTTTTCTAGTATAGGGAAGTATAGTACTTCTTAAACTTTAATGTACATATGATATCATCTGGAGGATCTTAAAACTACAGCTTTGATTTGATAGATCTAGGGAGAAGCCATAAATTGTGCATTTCTAACAAGTTTATAGGTGATGCCGATTATGCTGGTGTATCTCTAGTCAGAAATCCATATATGTAATTTAACTCACTGACTAAAGAATTTACTTCACTGTTGGCTAAGACTTAGACCCTTCTGCATTCTTTACTTTTTGTATGTCCAAAGAACAATAAATTAGTTGCTTTTTCATTTCTCTCTTTCCACATGATACAAGAAAATAATCCTGTCTTCTAACTGTATTTCCTTTTTAAGGAACTTCTATATTGTATATCTTAATGGAAATTTCAAACAGTGTAATGTGTAATGTTATTTATTTCAACATCTGCAGGAAGAGCAGTAAATTGTTTCCTTTTGGGTGGGACCCTCAATATTTCATACTCAGAATGTATCTATTGATGGGAATGTTTTTGCATACAAATAGAATTCTAAAATTTTAGTAGTTACATGATTTATTATACTTACTTTAGCCTTTCATATACATATGCATCAGTTTGTACTCAATTTGTCTTCTTTTATTTCAAGGGTGTGATTACTTTAGAGTCCCTTGGTAAAAGGGGTTATCGAGTACCTCCTTCAGGAACAATACAAGTGGTATGTGTTTTATAGTCTACAATTGCAATAATCATTCTCTCACATACATATAGAACTTAGCCCTTTCTCCTGCTACTGCTGCTGCAACAACTTTGGTAAGTAACAGTGGGGCTGCAGCTTTCTTTGGAGTTTCCCTGCTCTGCCCCAGGAATGGCCATGTGGGGACCTCCATAAAAGGAAAACATTAATAATCTAATCAAGGTGAATGCTTTAGAAAAATAGTATATGACAGTTTACGTAACTTAAATAGAGCTGTTTTCAATGTAATTAGAACTTTACTAGTTCCTTCTATTTAATATAGTTAGTCAGACTGAGATTGACCTATTTAAAAGGAAACCTCAAATGCTAGTATTGCTTTGGCAGGAAAACTTGGGAAACAAAATTATATTATCCCTGGTGTAATAATTTCTAAATTAACCTACTAAAATGGTTACACCAAGTAGAAATGTAGTCTGACAGATGTGAGGGCAGAGAAAGCATCTTTCCTTTTGGTGTAGGTGTTGCTCTAGTTTTGGCTCAGGAGAATTCCTTGAGCCCAAAGCAGTCCTTCATCATCGTTGGTCTTGGTTTTTCAGAAGGGTAATTTGATATCAAGGCCAGTTTACAATTGGGTTAATCTCCAAGTCAGACCCAGGATAATCTTACATGCCCAAAAGTATATTATAAAGCTGGCTCTAGCAGACTGACAAGAATCTAACTGATATTTGTCAGTTATACCTCAAGAAAGTTGAAATTAAAAAAAAAAAACAAAAAGTCTAGCTAAGTTCCTTATACTCAGGATCTGGTCTAATTCAACAAGCCTTTTTATGCCTTTTGGCCTCAATGTGATCAATGCTTCACCAGACCACTTTTACTCATCACTATTCAAATACATCAAGGAGTCTTCTGTGCATTTGCTTAGTTCACATCACACAGGGATGAAACATGGTATTATGTGATACATTTGTGTGCACATATTGCAATATATACATATATATATATAATTTCACTGAGGAAGAATCATTGCATATTAAAGTTAGACTTTTATGTTAAATGGATTTCTTGAACTAAAAAGAGTGATAATCATCTTGTTTTCCTACCCTTGGCTATGTAGTTCATGTGAAAGCATGGAAAAGCTAGCTATCAGTTGTCATAATAATGAGGCATAAATCCCAAGGCAGCACGTTCATACCCCTTTGTTTGAGGACTACCAACTTTAATGATTAATTTTAAATCTGAAATTTAGGTGTGTCTTTCATTCCTTATATAGTTTAATTATTTATCAACATGGTTTGAACTTTTAGCTTGCTAGTTGTTGTGGTTGTTGAATGTATTAGCCTTAATCTTAAGACTCACTAGATTTCAAAAGTTGGATCATAATATTGATATATTTCTCATTTTGATTCAGTGAGTGATGTCCAGTGCCACGGATGAGCTTCTGAAAGCACGGGCACCAAGTTACCTATTGATGTGTTGGTAATTTGGTTAAAGTCAGATCAGCAGCTTGGGATCTTGTTTAAAAATTAGTACTTTAAAAAATAATATTCCTCTGGTTATTAATAGTCAAGTATCAGTTGAATTTAATTCAGTCTTAACTAAGGATACATATTTTGGTCTATTATAATATTGATGATTTTACACTACAGTTTTTGAAACGAATCCAACTGTGAGAACATGAAGTATTATTTAGTCTACTTGGTAACTAATAATACACCTTATTTTCTAAACTTGGAAAAATTTCCAAATAAGAAAAAGTCTCTTTTTTCAGAACATGTTTTTAATTTTATAGTAACTATACATACCTAGTATACCAAAAAGTCTAGTTTTACCTAGCTTTTTTATTTTAAAACAATTTCTATTTACTTATCAAAATGTGATGAAAATTAACATTCTGTTTTGAGTACTTTGGGTTTGACACACTTTAATAAAGCTAATGTTTGAAATAAGTGAACTGGAATTTTTTAATCCAGTAAGGGTGTATTTTGCTTACTTTAGTGGAAGCATTTGTAAAAATCTGAACAAAGAGTAAAAGTTTATATTGTCTAATATGAAATTTGTGACTAAAGATTTTGATTTGTTACAGGAAATAAATTGAACCGTTTTTTAAAATAGTGAATATCTTTTCATAAACTTCTAAAATGTTATTGACTTTAGTTCCCAAAACTAAATTATATCCAGTGGGATTAACTTCTTATTAAAAAGTCTATTTTATTATTGGCACAATTATTTTGCATCAACTCAATAAATCACTTTTTTAAGAAAAATTTTTATATTGTTTCTTCAGACCTTATTTAACCCTAATAAGACTGTGGTGAAGATGTTTGTTGTGATATATGACTTACGAGATATGCCAGCTAATCATCAGACATTCCTACGACAAAGAACTTTTTCTGTACCTGTTAAACAAGAAATGAAGAGAAGCGTTAATAAAGAGAACATCCGACATACAGAAGAACGGTTATTGCGCTACCTCATACATCTGAGGTAATGTTTCAAATAAATATGAAAATATGTTACTTCAGAAGAACAACTCCAAATTTTTTTGTTTATTTTAACACGTGTCACTCTAGACCAGTGCCCCCTTGGAATTTGCTTAATTTGGAAACTTTTCATATGCCAAGATGCAGAAAACACAGAGCATATCTTCCTTCATTCATTGTTACTTGTTGAATTAAGGAAGTTTTCATTTATAGCTATGTAATGTAAAATATTTTATATCAAAACAAATTCTGACATATCTGGGGCAGTGAAGCACATTTTCTAAATCAATGCTGTTCAATGGAATTGTAATACGGGGGCGCCTGGCTGGGTCAGTCTGTAGAGCATGGATGACACTCTTGATCTCAGGGTTGTGAGTTCGAGCCTAATGTTGGGTGTAGAGATTACTTAAAAATAAAATCTTAAAAATACTGTAATATGAACCGTATATGTAGTTCTGTATTTTCTAGTAGCCACATTAAAAAAAAAAGGTGATAAGAGGGGTGCCTGGGGGGCTCAGTTGGTTAAATGTCTGACTTCGGCTCAGGTCATGATCCCATGGTTTATGAGTTCAAGTCCCCCGTTGGGTTCTGTGCTGACAGCTTGGAGCCCGCTTTGGATTCTGGGTGTCCCTCTCTCTCTGCCTCCTGCTTGTGCCCTGTCTCTCTCTCTCAATAATAAATATTTAAAAAATTTAAAAATAATAAAAATAAAGTGATAGAAAAAAATAAGAAACAGGAAAGATTGGGGTGCCTGAATGGCTCTGTCAGTTGAGTGTCCAACCTTGATTTCAGTTCAGGTCATGATCCCAGGGGTCATGGGATCAAGCCCTACATCAGGCTGCATACTCAGCACAGCATGGAGCCACCTAATAATCTCTGTCTCTCTCTCCCTCTCCCTCTCTACCCCCATTTCCCCACTCACACTCTCTCTGAAATAAAAAAATTTTTAAAAAGGAAACAGGAAAGATTAATATATTTCCTTTAACCCAACATACCCAAATGTTGTAATTTGAATATATAATCAACATAAAAATTATGAATGAGTTATTCTATGCTCTTTTATTGCACTAAATATTTGAAATCAAGTATAGGTTTTATACTAACAGGGCAACTCAGTTTGAACTAGCCACATTTCAAGTGCTCAGTAGCCACATGTCGCTAGTGGCTACTGTATCGGGCAGGGAAGTTTTTAACCCTCATTCATTCATTCAACAAGTATTTATGTGTTGAGTATGTTTCTGGGTACTAGGGAAACAGCAGTGTGAAAATCTCTTTTCTCATAGAGTTTATATTCTGGTAATTCCATCAGAAATACCTTTCCTCTAACTTGTACTACCCAGGTCACAGCACTAGATTTTGAAAAACCATTTGTTTGCCCTTGAGGTCTGTGTTGCCAGTATCCTGGGGTAAGGTTGTGGCCCTGAAATCCTAGTGCAGTTCTCAGGCAATGAGCAAATCTGTTGGTTGGGAGAGAGCTGAATAGTCTTTTGCCTGTAACTTTGTTCTTGGTAATTTTCAGATGCTATTTATAGGAAGTTCTTAACCACATCAGTGACAGTAATTCATTTTAGCTTAACTCCTTACTTCAAAGATCCTATTCATGAGGAGGAGGCACCTCTCATCCAGGGCGCAGGCAGAAGACCTCTTTAATCTGCTGCTAATGGTGACTGCCAGCTTTTTTTCAAGAGATCTGCCTTGTGGTCATCAGGAGTACATGAAGACTGAACTGTCCACTTAACCCCATACTTGAAAAAGTCTATTAATGGGTTCCCACATAGTACTGCTTATCCTGGGGTCTTCTGTCTGGTGTTCTACATCCTAAGGACATGTTGAACTGGAGCAATGTTTTTAAACCCAACTCTACACTACCTGACATGAGCCTAATGTGAATGTATACAGATTGTGAGAATGAAAATCTGAAAACAGACTCTGAAGACTTTTTTAAAAAGAGAAATGGTATGAAATAGCAGACCATAAGAATAGATCCCAGCCCAAGCTAGGATAAGATTCAACTCTCTCTAAACTTCCATTTGATACCATTCCTCTTGAAGTTTAACCACCATAAATAACCAACATTCTCCAAAGTAAACATGAACTACCCCAGCTTTTATATAATCCCCACAGAGTGATTACTTTAAATGCTGTAAAGAAACCTCTTTGGGAACTATACCATATATATGTATGAGTATGGTATAGTTCCCAAAGCTCTCATTTTTCTCCTTCAGATTGAGAAGGTGAAAAAACTTCAGACAGATTGAAAGAGTGAGCTGGCGTTCAGCTCACATAAAACTGGCCACCAGATTTTTCAGCTAATTTAGGAGTAAAATTCATAAACCCAAAGAGTATTTCTGCTATGCAAAGGGTAAACCAGAGAGATTAGCACAAAAGGATATGTTTGAATGTCTGCCAGATAAGTTTATATGACAAAAGAGTCCAGCACCCTGTATTATGTTACAGGTATTAGCAGGGAATAGATACAGTTCCATATACAGTATTGATAACCATTTTCATTTCACTACAAATTTTTGTCTTTTTAATGATGATTAGGCTTTATTAGCTAGCCATTACTGATGATAGCAGTAATTGTCCTCAATAGTTGATTATTTTCTTTGGTGACTTCTCAAGTGTGGAATCCATTTTAATGTACTCACAATTGGCGGAGGGCAAGTTATATGAAATAAGGCAGTCTGTGTGACTGTAAGATGCTAGGGCTGCAAAGCCCAAATGTAGTATAATTGATGTGAACTGAAACTTGACATTGTAGATAAGGGAAAGTGCATGTGTTATGGTGTCAGAGATTTAAAAAAAAAAGGATCACATGTGAAACAAGCTTTATAGAAATAAGAAACATCTCTGGGGCACCTGGCTGGTTCAGTCAGAGGAACATGTGACTCTTGATCTCAGGGTCATGAGTTTGAACCCCACATGGGATGTAGAGATTATGTAAATAAAAAAATATCTCTGACATTGTAAGAAGGAAAGGGAGTATGGGATGTTTAGGGAATAGTAAGGAAGAGGCACTTAAATAGCAGCACATACTTTAGCAATGTAAGACTAAGTATCTTGTTAAACAGTTACTCTTAATATTGGTAGCAAGACTCCTTCTTGCTTTCAAAATTTACTGAACTTTATTTTAAAGACTCATTCCCTGAAATAATGCATCTTTTTGTTTGTTTAGGTTCCAGAGTTCTAAATCTGGAAAGATCTACCTCCATAGAGATGTACGGCTCCTGTTCTCTAGAAAGTCAATGGAAGTTGATAGCGGTGCTGCGTATGAACTCAAATCTTACACTGAATCGCCAACAAACCCTCAGTTTTCACCAAGATGTTGATAAGGAGTGACAATTTAAAGCGTTCGCTCAGTACCCAAGTTTGAAAGTAAAAATTAGCATAGAACGGAGTGCACCAATTAACATCCAGGAGGGTGGATCCTCTCCTGTTATCCTGGACCAGTTTTTATTAAAGGATTCCTGGAATAAGATCCACATATTCCAAGTAGACTGGAAACACTCATGTCCTAATCCATTTTGTACTGTTGAAACCACTTCATTGGACGTGTTGCAATAGCAACCCCCCCTTCCCCAATTAGATTAGTGTTTACACATTTTATTTCTCAGTTATTTAATATTTAATGTTTTCCTTAATACTCAAGTGATGTTTGTCTCTAGTGTTCTAATGTAGCACAAATCCTATGTAAAATCATACTATGTATTTTTGACATTAATGTTGAAATCCAAAATATATGCACAAGTCTTTAATTTTGTGTGTGATGTGTTTTAAGTACTATTCATTTAATTTATTGAAAATGAGAATGAAATGTTGAGCTTCTTTAAGATTAACGCACTATGCAAGCATGTGTACTTTTTATATCTCCAAGGTTTAGTTTTTACAATATCCCATCCTGGTTGCTATCTCACATACTAGTCCTGTAACATGCTGTTTTTGGCAGTGCAACGTGGACTAAGCTGCTTCACATTCCCTTTGCAAATTCAGATCATTATGCCCATTCATATTCCTTCTAGAACTCCTTACTCCCAAAACAGTTCTATTTTTCCTTAATTGCTACTACAGAAGCTTTACATTAAATTGCTGTCCCATGCTAGATAACTTTTGCAAATTGTTAAAAAAAAATATGTACTTTGAAAACAAATTAATATTTATATTGTAAATATACGCAAAAACAAAGAAACGTGTATTTGGCTTTTATTTTTAGATGAGATCTTCATGTGATTAAGTGAATTTCTGATAACCATCAGACAGTTTCCATTCTAGCTTTACAGCTGACAAGAGGGGAAGGAAGATGTCTTGAGCCTCTTCCCCAAAGAAATTTATCATGTTCTTGCTCAGGGTCACATTAGGAAAACCACTGAGGAAGGGAATTGATTGAATGCATCAAAAGCCCTCCTTCCATCCCCCTAAAAAGAAGAATGGTTTTAGATGTTTGTGCAGGGACAGTGGGAAACAGCAGATCGGATGACAAGGCACAGATACTGGGAATGCTGGTACAAAGCAACAAGTGCAGGTTAGAGAATACATACTACTCAAGTAGGCCACACCAAGAGACCTGGGAGTCAAAGACCAGGTGAGTGCTTTGGAATTTTGGAGATGAGAAGGTCCTTATATTGGGATCCAGATAATGGATAGACTATTCAAGGGAAATCAGACCAGTGATGAGTATGTGACTGCAGGCTGTGGGGTGGCCAGCAAGAAGCCTCTCATAAATAACTTTTAAAATACTTGCTGAGGCATCTGGTGTCTCCGTCACTTGAGCATCCAACTTTTGACTTTGGCTCAGGTCATAATCCCAGGTGTGGGATTGAGCCCACATCCAGCTCCCTGCTGAGCATGGAGTCTACCCCCCCCCCCCCCCCCCCCCCCCACCCCTGGCTTGTGCATTCTCTTTCTCTCTCTCTCTTAAGTAAATAAATAAAATACCAGCTCAAAGAGAAAAGGCCACTTACATTCCATAAAGCTAAAAAAAAGTTTTCGATGGCACACATTTTTGACGACTTATTCTTGATTTTCAGGCTGTGAAAACAACATGGAATTAGGACCCAAAATGTTGGGATTGTAATTCTAGCTCTAATAGCATCTGATGGGACTGACTCCAGGAATCCTCTAACCTTTCTGGGTCTGTGTGAGAGAATAGAGTTGAGAGTATTGATAATATGCCTTCTTAAATTCTGTCATATGATTTTTGGAATTGGCATTCCAATATATGTATCTAGACTTATTTGACCAAAGTAAATATTGACAATTTTGAGTGCAACTTGGAAAACACCAAGTAATTAAACCATCAAAATGCTTTAAAAAAAAAAAAAGTTATTCTTTGACCTCTCCAGTAATCCAAAAATTAGTAATATATGTTGGATAGAGGTGTCTTCTTATGTGGGTACCTCACTGCAACTTTTCTAGAATTACTGCTAGTACATGGTTTTTCTTGTTTCTGGGTATTTTAAAGAAAATTTCAAGAAGATGATTGCAACATCTGGTTGCATCCGGTGCCCTTCCTGGCAAGGGAAACATGCTGGCATTTTGTCCCTCTTCTTCTTAGGGTCTTTTATGCCCATGTTTTTTCCACTTGAGGTATGGTGACCAAGTACAAATCTGCTCTCCCTTGCCCTGGCACTATCTCTATTGTAATAGTTCTTTTCCTACCTGTCTTTTGTCACAGGCAGAGTCTTTACCACTCTTGCCATATCATGCCTCTTTGTATTCATAGACCATGTCACTAGATTGAGTGTTGGCATGCAGGTAAAGATACCAACAGACAACCTGTCCACCTGTGATAGGTAATGGGGATCTCCTCATTTACCACAGGCTCACTTGACAGTTCTGCACTCTAACCCAATGAGTCATACTAATAATTTGCTTTGAAAAAGAACTCCAAGTCACAACCAACCTGCAGAAAGTCCTTGGGAATTTTCTTATCAGATGAGAATTAAAAATAGTGATGAAGGGGCGCCTGGGTGGCTTGGTCAGTTGGGCGGCTGACTTCGGTTCAGGTCATGATCTCACGGTCCCTGAGTTCGAGCCCCGCGTCGGGCTCTGTGCTGACAGCTCAGAGCCTGGAGCCTGTTTCAGATTCTGTGTCTTCCTCTCTCTGACCCTCCCCCATTCATGCTCTGTCTCTCTCTGTCTCAAAAATAAATAAACGTTTAAAAAAAATTAAAAAAAAAGAAAAATAGTGATGAAATGGGTGGGGACTGAATGGAGGGCATCCAAAAGAAGATTCCTTCTTCCTGCCATTTCCCCAGACCAGGTCTTTGTCATTCCCAACCCAAAAGAAAGGAAAGCATTTCTCTTTCAAGGCTTCGTTCTAAGGATCTTCACTCTTACTTAGGTTTGTGAATGAAGTGGTGATCCTTTTTCAAACTTAATTTTAAAAATTCATGCAATATATGTTCATTATAAAAATTTTCACACTACATAATTATGTAAACATGAAAGTCCCTTTCTCTGTTCACCCTTGTAGCTCTCATTCTACAGAGGTGGTCACTATTAAACTTTTGGTATTTGACACCCCATGTGGTCTACTAGATCTAGGAATACAGTGTCAGTCTAGATGGGAAGAAGTCTTTTCATCATGGTAGGAATTCATTCTCAATTCCTAAAACTATATGTGCATTGGAATCAACCCCTTTTACTCTATCATGGATAATCTATGAAAAAGATGTCCTTTCTAAAAATTTTTATTATGGAAGTACAGTTGACGATATGTATTTTAAACTTGGACACTGGGAGGAGGAAGAGAACATGTGAATGCCTACTATGAATGTGCCAGGCACTGTAAACAATTTATATGTTATTTAATACTTACAGCCATACTGCAGAAAGTATAGATATTCTATAATGAAAGAAGAGGAAGCTTGAAGAGCTTGCCCAGAGTCTCACTGTTAGAAGAATCAGGAATCAAATCTGAGTTAAAGCTTATGTCTTTTCCACCCTACTACATGGGCATTTTGCCTCTTTTTCCATTCTTTCCACTAGTATTTATGGCCTGGCATAGAATATATTTTTCATCAATATTCTTGGCAATACAGCTTATAATATGTGTGTGATAAGTTACATATATAAGGCATGCCTATTAATCATTGGGGGGGGAGGGGGAAGACTTAAAAAGACTTCAGGAAGGAAGGAAGGAATGTCCTAAACCAACTCAGAGGCCATCCAACTTAGTACACTGTCAGGAGGCACTCAAGTAAAGTTAAGGGAAAGTTTAGAAATACATTGTGGCAAATATTTTATGAGATTTAAAATGTTGAAAGTTTGTGAAGTCTCTTCTAGACCCCACTGTTCATCATTACTTTAAATTCATTCAAAATTTTCCTGTCTGAATTTTCAATTCATATAAAGATCTCTCATCTCAGTCCCTAGAGAAGTGGCATCCTCCAATTTCTAAGTTCCATTGCCAGTACTCAAGTGGTTGAAACTGCTCTCTATAGTTATCTGGCTTGTATCACCTATTCAGGTAATCTTTGTTCCCTGGGCTTAGCTCTCAGAAATCACCATTTATCCTCAGGGGTTGTGGTACTCAGTGGCTCAGTTGACTTCCCGAATGTATCTTCCAGGCTCTTCCTATAGCGTCCTTTTATTAAAAGTATATTCTGTTCTTGGGGCATGTAGCTGGCTTGGTCAGTAGAGTATGCAACTCTTGATCTCAGGGTTAAGTTTGAGCCCCACACTGGGTATAGAGATTACTTAAAAATAACATCTTTAAAAAAATAAGCTGGTGCCACCTTCCTCGAGGATACCTGGGCTAAGGAACCAGTGCCGGTTGCATCCTTCACTAAGGAGGCCTCGCTACAATTCTGCCCATCCTTAGCCCCTTCATCAAATATGCCACCATAATTGACCAGGCCACATCCTACAACTATCCAGTGCCCCTCTGAGATGATGGGGACATGCCCGACATGCCCAGCCACCCCCAGGACCCCAAGATCCAAGCCTGGAGTGGCTGAAGAAATTGTGAGCACTGCTGGTGACATAGAGGAGGCCGCCTCCCCTCTGGCCAATAAAATGCAAAATGCAGCCACAAGGGGGTAAATGTATTCTGTTCTTGATCCTTGCTACAATCTCAGCATCGATGTAGGTGGATTTCCTCTCTCAGCTGCTTGAGGAATGGATGTGGTGGAACATTATTTCCTTGACTCGTACAAACTCTTGAGCTAGTACACCTAAGCCTCTAAAAGACCTCTGGTCTTTTTAAAGCTTTTTTACACCTACCAAGTTCCAAGCCTGAAAAATCTTGTGCAGGTGTGGATCAGAATCACCAGGGGAGCTTTGGTTAAACATGAATACTTGAACCTTGCCTCAGACCTAATGAGGATCT